CCCCAAAACCCCAAAACCCCAAACAGTTATGAATTTATGATAGAGTATTAGTTTAAAAAATAATAAGGAATTTTATATTAAAAGGTAAAGAATTATATTGAATACTAGTATCTCATGACCTCTCAAAATCTCTTGCAACATGAGTTAAGTTAGTGATGCTCTGATTGCTTTGCATAAGATAAACTCACACATTTCTAATGGAGTTTTTATAAGAATCCAAAACGTTTGACAATTAATCATTATGCAAAAAGTCATGAGTGCTTTCATAGTAATTATGTTAAATCCCAATTGTTTAGTTAAGCATAAGAATCATTCTCCTATTAGTTTAATCACCTTCACCCTAATATTTTGGCTCCTGTAATACTTTTTGCATATTAGTTCAATCTTAAAGTCTATAAATTGCACTCTCACATTCTATCTGTAACTGATTTGCATTAAGCATAATTCTGCTTTTTGGATTCATTATTTTTATCCTGTAGCATCTCAAAATAATTCAGTACCTTAAATTTCCATAGAAAAATCTTTATTACTAGAATTCAGTCATTGGAAGTATCATCGAAACCATGTGACTTTATAGATTGATCACCCTCTCAAATTCTTGTAATATCTTATTATCTCAAATAATGCCCAAACATGATAGAAAAATCTACATTTAAGGGACAATATAATATTCAAAAGCTAAAATCCTGCAAAACCCAAAGTAAAAACTATCATATCAAGAAAGAATAAAGCTACTAATATCATCATCCATCCCATACAATAGTCAGTTGGATAGATATAGTTAAAGAATAAAACAATAATCGACATTATAACATAAAACGTATAACAAATAAAATATCCAAGAGCATATCTACATCCCATTTGCTTGTCAATTTCCTTAAATACTTTATTTATCTTTTTCGACCTTATTCCCTCTAATTCTCTCCTAAAAGCCATTGGCATTCTAAATATCAGAGCTACTGGTAAACAAATAATCCAAGCGCCAATAAGAGGCAATATTGCTATTGCTATCGTTGAGAATGTTGAATCACCTATAAAATCCGCAACGATCTGTTAATATCCAAAAATATACACCACAGAAGTAATAGTAAGGTGAATTGATATATACAGATACATCAAAGTTAATCTAATGTGTCTTGGGGCAATTTTGCTTGTTTTTGACATTAAGCTAAACCATAGATTGTTCCTCAAAGCTTCATGGAAGAATTTCATTTTATTTTCTGGAGTGTACTATTTTCTTTTGAATATTTACTTGTATATTCTTAGAGCTCTATCATTAACATCTCCAACTCTGCCAAAAACCCTTTTTCTGGCTCTTCTTTTGATAACTTTCTTCGCATATTAATCAAGTTGTTAATAATTTTTGGCACTATAAATTTGTGAATTACCTGCTATTCCATTATTTAATGTCGGGATATGAAGATTATCCAGAGTAACATTTAAAGAGGACGACAAAAATGATTTCGTATGACCTATCAAACTCATTCTTTTAATGTTTAGTCTTAATTTTTCTTCTTAACTGTTTTATCTTGTATGTTATGATAAAGTTTCGAAATGTTATTCATCAGAAAACTAATTTTGATTCAGATCTCTAGCCAATAACTCTTTTATCATTTCATCAAGGCACTATATTTGATCGTCTTTAATCTCTGCAAGATCATCTCTGATCAAAGATTTAGTCATCTTGGCTCTCTTGATTTTGTCCTTCCCTGTATAGTAGAAAAGGGAGGAAATGTACATAAACCAAAATACTATCACAATGTACATACCAGGTTTAAATAGAAAATCTATTAGACTTGGAGTTTTATGCTGTAATAGCTCCTCTAGATTCTTGAAATATTTGTCAAAAGTCACTATAAGCTCTTCTACCTTAATATTATCATCGTCATCTGAATTTGCTTTTGAATACTTATTGGTAAATATTTCATTAGAAATGCTACTTTGTTTTGGCGTCATAAATGTGGTTGAAAAGCTTGACAGATGATTGCATTTGCATTTTATATGAGTTCTGTCTACATCTTATAATTGACAACCTTAATTGCTCCATTAATTGCCATTCCAGTATAGACAACCAAGCTTGCTACTTTATAAGAGTTTGACTCTTAATTCTTTCTGTTTAGACTTGTAGGGACTTAATGAGTTATAATAACTGATGAAATCTGAAAGATTTTGGTTATCTTGAAAGGGGAAATAGAAGTCGAAACCATGTTTTAGATCCTTAATTTCTGCTTTAGCTTTGTCAGATGCATTATAGAAGTTGATTTCAAATACATTATTGGATATATTGTTGGTGTTAATGACTTGATAGGGATTTACTGCGAATTCTACAGCTTCAAAGACAAAATCAACTTCGAGAGGCAAACTTTAATTTTCAAAGTTTATTTCTGATATCTTAATGAAAGTTGTTATACTTTTTTTGAGGTCCTATGTTGCAGAAAATGATTGTAAAGTGTCTTGGCTTATTAATATTTATTTGTAGCTTATCATTCTCGACTAGAATTGTTTTTTAGGATCTAACATACCAATCTGATTAAGGGTATTCTATCTCAAATATTCAAATAAATCAAGAGCTGATTAATAATTATCCTATAAGTTTTGAATCATTATTTAATCTTTAAGCAATTATCCAGTTGCATTCAAATAAACTGTTTATTATTCAATATATTCTATCAGATTAGAAAGCAAGTTCAAGTAATAAGAGACTTCATTATCAGTCAACGGGAAATAGCCATTTAAATTCAATTTATTTCCAATTGTCTAAATTATAATACCATAAGTAACATCATTCATAATTTCAAAGTAGTCTGTGACTAGATTTAAAAAGACATCTTCGTATTCTTTATCTGAAATTATCAAGTATTTCAAACTCAATTAAGAAATAAAGCTTTTAATCTAGCTAAGCTAAGTTTCATTAGAATAAGAGCAATTCAAACCAGCAAATAGTTATGTACAATTGCAATAATATTTCTTTTAGTAATCAAGATACACACATTTTCCATTGTAGCTACATAGTTTATTATTACAATTTTAAGAAAGTAATCTAGGATCAAAAGCCTAAGGATCTTAAAATTTAACATTACCAAGCTACTTTGTAATAAGTTTAAGCTGTATAATCATTTGAAGTATGTCCACTTCACTTTCTACTAATGAAGGTTTCAAGTTATTAAGGTCTTTAGATGCATCAGCATTTGATTTTTTCTCAAGTACTATAATTGTAGATATTTTACTAGTGAAGCCTTTCAAGTTTGTTGCTTTGCACATAATTCTTACTTAAATGAACTTATCGTAGATAGATTGAAATAAATAAGATATCTCCTGAGAGAGTCTATCATCTGATTATATTGGAAAATATTTAATGCCGCCGTCTAATGAATATAGGAAATCATATCTTGTGATAATTTCTTTATCTACCCATCCTGATTATTGAATTTTAAATTTAGTTACAGTTGCGATTCCTTAAGCAGGATATACTTAGCATTTTCCATTTCTAGGAGCAGATCCAATATAAATTATATTGACCATTTCTGAGTAAAGACCATTGTAAATTTCAGGAAAACCTTTGACAAACAGTGTGATCGAGTAGTAGTTATAATCTTGAACTATATTGTTATCAAGATGCATTTTCCTAATGTCTGTTTCAAAATATGGCTTTACAGCATCTGCAGTGATATCTAAATTATCTGAAAGTCTAATTACTTTCCAGCCATATTAATATGATCCATTAGCCTCTTTATTGAGCATAGTGAAATTCCCCTTGACATCAATAAATGATCCAGAATAAATAATTGATTCATTAGTTGGGATAATATAGTCAACTCTTGGATTAAAGTAGCATAGCTAAGTTTTAATATTTCCATACATCCCTGCTGGACAAGTGTCAACGCAGCTCTTACCTTCAAACTCTCTAAAAGCACCATACTTACAAGCTGAGCAATTGTTTTAATCACCAAAGCAAGCCTTGCAATTAATATTGCATTTAAAGCACAATCCTAATACTTTGTCCATATACTCTCCTTCGGGACAATAATCAACTATTTTACAAATGAATTCTTCCTTGATAAGTTTATATGGTAAGTTGCACTCAATGCAATGAGATGATGTTTTTCCTATACAATTTTTGCACATTTTATTACATGGCAAACAAGATTAATAGCCTAAGATATCATTGAAATATGAATAAGACCCTTCAGCACAGAGCTTTAGATATATTTCTCTCAACTCGACTAAATCTTAAATTTTATGAATAGGTCTTGGATCATAATTGGTTACTCCACTTGAAGTAGCTTCAGAAAAAACTGAGGTAGAACCATCATTTTTATTATCTAGTCTCCAATAAGCTATCATTTCTGGAGGGGCTTTTGTAAATGAAACAGTTCTGAAATGTTTTATTTAGTATGAGCTTCGAACTATTTTCCACAATCTAAATTCTTTTATATATCCATCAAAGTTCGTTTCCTAAGGTTATAAATCATTAGATCCTCCTAGAATCATTTCTTATGGTTTCATTAAATTTTAAACAACCACTATTGTAGGATTCAATCCAACTGGGATAGAATTTCCATCTTAATAGCAGGCCATGGATAAATTTTTCTGACTTAAAGTGAAGGCAATATGATACCATACATTATTTGTCAAGGCAGGATCTGAATTACAATACTACAAAGTGTTCTGGTACTGTAATTGAATCAAGGAATTTTTACTAATCTTTCTAATTTTATATGGATTAAGTCCAAGCAATACTTATATATTTAAACTAGTTAGATCTTTAGCCTTAAACCATAATTCTGAAGTCAATTCCTCAGGATCGAATTCTGATGGGATTGTTTAAGCATTGAATGGAAGTACTAAAGATCAATTGATACCTGATTTGTAGAAATACTCACCAGAGCAATTGAGGGTATTGAGAAATTCATATCCTGGCCTACAAATGTTACAGTCATCTGCATTATTGCAATCTTCACAATAGTATTTACAAGGCTCGCAAGTTAATGTCAAAGAATTTGGGTAGTAAGAGACTGGACATTTCTAATAGCAAGTTGAGCCTTATAGATAATATCCTGGATTACATTAAGAGCACATTGAATTTAGAGAACCCTAGCAAATCTTGCAGGATGGATCACAAGGGTAACAAGAACCAACTTCTGATGCATATTCTTAGTCTTTACATGAGTCTTAACACTACCTATTTGAGTACAAACTTCCTGGCCTGCATTATATACAATCAGTTTAACTGTTTACGCACATTAAGCAGCTATTCTTGCACCTCTCGCATTATCTATTGCCAGTATTTTGATAGTAACCTAAGTATGGGCAGTTTTTTACACAAGAAGTATTCAGTAGAAAAGTTGTAGAATCACATTCAGTGCAATTGAAATTATTGTCTACACACTGCTTACAATTCGATTAGCACTTTTAGCAAATGCCAGAAGATAAATTTTGATAAGTTCCGCTCGGACAAGTTAGCTAACATGTGCCTGACTAGGTATCAAGAAAAGTTCCATTTTAACATTTTAAGCAATTTTAACTACTGCAACTACTGCAATTCGTGGAACAATTCTAGCATTCCTTTGTTTTAGAATTCTGATATTTTCCCATTGAGCATTAATTCAAAAAGCAAGTTCCATTTACCAAATACTTATTAGTAGTACAAGAAAAGCAATAATTTGATGAATTACAGGACTTACAACCTTCTGGGCATGCTTAACATATTCGTTGTCCGTCCTCATTAGTGGTTGTATTTTCTGGACATCCATCAACGATGCTCAGGCATAAATTACTTCCGTTATTTATATAGTTGTAACTAGCCTTACAATATAAGCATTTTCCCTGATAATCACAAGATGAACATGGTGATGGACAAATTTAGCAAACTTTACTAGTTTCATTGAAAAATTAACCTTTCGGACAATCAGATTTGTAACAATAATTATCTAAAATGTAGTAATTTTTAACACAAGAAAAGCAAAATGAGCTATTCCAAATACTACATTCAAAACAGGGAGATTCGCACTGAGTACAATTATATGTACTCATATTTTTATGATATCCTGGCATGCAATAATTAATATTCTCACCCTCTGTATTTGTATTTTACCAGCTTACAACACTCTGATCTGTAAATGTCGCTTTTAAATTATTATTCATTGAAGCTGTCCAACCACTAAGTTAACTACCCTATGGTTTAGGTCTATAATAATCGACAATGTGTTAAGGTTTGACACCTGTGTATAATTTATAGGACTAAGCAAAGTATCAATAAATGAAGTAATTAAAGTACTTAAACTCTGATTTATCATAAGAATAAAACTTTATCTCATTCTACCTAACGTACATACTAGGATCGTATGCGTTAATTTGCCACATGCAAATTTATTTAGGGTGAGGGTAAGTTTGACTCAACTTTCTAGAATATTAGTGGTAACGATCTCTTCCAAATATCCAAGTGCTGTTTGATTAAGAAAATGAAATTTAAACATTAGTCCAACCTCCGTCAAAGATATCTTTAGACAATTCTTCACCATCTTCATATATTCCTAGAGTCATATGAAATTACTAATACCACTGCTTAGTATGCGATTTATCCTTAGGATCAATCGAATAGGTATCATAATAATCTTTCCAAATACTCATTTGTACAGGTGGATAGCTACTATTATACATAAATTTCATAAAAATTCCTCTATTATACCAAGTCCATTAATCCTAATAATTAATATAGAACCAGACATCATAAACTCCAAACTTACTTGCCTCTAAATTATAAAGAGGATTATCGAAGCAAACTTAGTAATTAGGAGAATTAGAATTCACTCTTAAGTTGTATATATCTTCTATATTTGGATCCTAAGAATTGACACTGAGAGCAATCAAAATTAGTATGATTAAAATTTTGCTCATCATTTTATCTTTTACCTAAGATTTAATCAATCCAATTGAACTCAGCTTTTATTTCATCATTTTTTACAACAGATGAGATAGTAAAAATCAGAGAATCT